GGTGTGAGGCTGTCAGGGCGGTGTGCCGGCCGCGAGGGGCGACCTGTGCCCTCCTCCTCCGCACTGCCGCCACTGGCGCCTCTGGTTTTCGTGTGCAGTTGGCCACGGTGAGCGGGTTCTGGTGGCCAGGCAACCTGGCAGCGTGCAAAGAAACTAAAGAAAATGGCCAAATATTGAACGATGTGCTGAAAATGCCAGTAAAAACACGCGAGTCGTCCCCTCTGAAGTCACACTGAAGAGCTATAGGTAGGCTTCAGCAGCTGGGCTCTAAGGAGAGAGCTGTCACTGACTGAGCACTCAAGCCCATTCCAGCTGTGGATGGTACGGCTAACCGTGCTGGGGGACAAGGTCTCCAGCAAAGGCACCGTTTTCAGGCGTGACAAACCTGTGTACAAACTGGGAATCCAGATTCTGCCAAAGACTTGAGGTTTTGCAGAGGCTGACGAGTCAAGTAAGTTTTGTGTCAGGCAGTATGAGGCAAGTCATAATTTTCTTATGCCGTTAGTGGCACCTTTTTTTGTTCGTCTATGCTGATCCACTGTTTTTGACAGCCCTGGCTTATGGAGGAAAGGGAGAAGGTAGAAGTTCAGTTTCTCTTCTGTGTTGCTTCTCGCCCAAGAGAGCGAAACTACTCTGTTTTGGTTTCGCTGTGGTCATCTAAAAGACTGTTGCGAGATTTTATGTGCGACTTTTCTGATTTTTGTTGTTATTTCTACATTGCTTTTCAAGATGCACCACTTTGTCAACGATGTAGTTACGTTTTACCTTTTATTCCTATTTTGTGTGGCTTTGCTTTCTCAGCAATTTTGAAATTTTTACTATTTTTGAAAGTATGATTTTGTTTTTATCCAATCGATTGATATGGCAGTAAACACTAATTACATTTCAAGAATATTCAGGGGTTTATCTTTTTAAACAAGTGAAAGAATTTCCTCCCTCCCTCTTTAATGCAGGTTGTGCCCTTAATTTTGGAAGACCTGAAAGGTCTGTTGGTGCATCTCCTGGCTGTGTAGCTTTTTTTCCTCTGTCGAGTGAGATGATGTATTTATGAGTTTAGCCTTTTCTTACCTGGGCTTTTCTGTCATCAACCTGGTGTCTCAGTTGAGACGAGATTTCACCAAAAAATGGTGAAATAATTTTTAGTGGGGTTAAATACATCTTGCTGAAAAGCATTAAGCAGAGCTGTGTAGTTGTTGACAAAGATACATTAAAAAACTGTCACTCATGTCAGGTAAAAAAGAGTGAAAAACAGTCGTTATTAGCGCTTTGTCAGTCCTTCATTCTTCTAGGGCTGATTATTTGACTTCTTAAAACAATAGTGAATAGTCTGTGAATAGTTATGGTCCTGTTCGCATAGAAACTCACATGTTCTTTATGTACTTCCATATATATGAATAGCCCGTAGGGACGCGATGTAGGAAGCCCAGGGCTTTCTTGAGTTCCTCCTTGTGCTGTATCACATGCTTGCTTTCTTTTTCACTCTTTGCTTTTGTTTGAATTTTTTATTACACTTCCTTGTCTGAGATACAATACAGCACTTGAAGTTATTATTCTGGTTTTGTTGGACAGTTCCTATTCCTTGTTCTTCCCAAATGCAGTAGAATGTGAAGTAGAAAGTGTCAGCGGATAAGCACTTTAAAACAAATAATCTTAGACAAATTACTCTCCACTCAAGTTAAACTTTTACCCCCTGGGAGGGGAAAAAAGGGCCTAATTTTTTTTTGTTTTGTTTTGTTGTTGTTCTTAGTGATAGTGCTTCCAGTATCTCAGTCATGTTATGCAAGGCTTTGTATAACTATGGCACAGCATGGATTTTGTTAGAAAGCCATTGCACTTCGCATAAAAGACAGCAAAAGGGCCCAACGGTGTAGTGGATGTTGGGGGGAAATAAGCAGTCATTCAGAATCGGTGGCTGCAGGAAAAAGGTAGCAGAAGGTTTTGGTTTGTCTTCAAGGTTTAAATGTGGAGAGAAACCTGAGAGGTAACTGAAGAAGAGATTTGGGTGGCCAGGAGTGGTGGTTGTTGCAGATGGGGCTTCAACCTGCAAGGAAGAAGTACAGTTGCTTAGTTAGGAAAGTAGAAGGGCTTTGGAAAGATACGCAGTGCTGGAAGAGGCGAGTGATTTTGCAGCTTTGAGAGTAGTTGTAAGCATTGGGAGTGCCCTGAGGAAAGCAAGGTGGAGAGAGCCTTGTCAGGGAAGGTGAGGTCAGAGTGTGAGGTAAAGAGCAGAAAGATCAGTCAGCAGCAGCCACAGTAACAGTGAATAAACCTGCAGTTTAGCCTTTTGATTCCTCTGAACTGAGATTTGGGGACCCTGGTTTTTGAGCATGTGGAAAGAAGGGGTGTGTTTTGGGCTACGTCAGAGTAAGCTGGGACATGTTCGAGGCAAGTAGTCTGACAAGGAGCTTTTCCGCTCTCCGAGGTAAGCCAAAAAGACAGTTTTCTGCATTCAAGTATTCTGACTAGAGGTGGCTTTTCAGTGCGTTACAGTACTCTGACATCACTGCTTGTCAGTAGCCTGATTAAAGTAGTATCAGTGCATTATAAATTTTATATTTGTGTAGGTGCTAAAAATGCAGAAGCCATGTTAGAAAATGTAAAAGTGAAAGTAACATGCTTACGGAAGGATTCAAAATTAAATCCAAGCTTAGTTTGAACCAGTGAGCAGTGGGTTCTTCTGGCCTGAAGTCAAAAACGGTTATTGAGTCTGTGACAGCACAGTCATGTATGGGTCCTTGAATTTGTTAGTTTGGAATCTGGAATAAGTAAATGTTGCCTTTGTAATCACTGTTACACAGACAGTAACAACATGGCTTTGCTTTGGAAGGCACAGAAAGATTACAAAAGATGGGAGGTCCTAAAGAAATCTGTATTATTCTTGCTTTCTCACACCAGCATCTTGTTGGAACTTGAAGAGACACTTTCAAAACAGGTGTACGTGTAGCCTTGAAGTAGTTGGTAAACTTCCCTGCTGTGTGGGAGAAGATGAAGATAGCAAGTTCGTAGTTCTTGATGTATTTTAACGTTCAAACTGTATATTACTCAGACAATCTGGCCTTTTTTAGAAATGCCATTCTTTCACACAGAAATGCCTTTGTGTTCTTATGTCCCGCTTATTCTTGCCAGATAAAACACCTCTGATTCCGAGCTATTCATTATCTTGGTGTGTGTGTAAAAAGGAGGTGGTTGTAGGCTGCTGTTTCTGTTGGAAGCCAGAAGACGCCTGTAAGGTGCGCTGCGAGGGAGGCCTAACGCGTGCGTTTTGTTAAGGGGCAGTGCTTTGACAAGGTCCTGCTGAGAAGTTTGGTAGCAGTGCAGACAGGAATTTGCGTCCCAGCCCGGTACCAGATGTGTGGAAGAAGCGGTGCACAGATTGGTTTGGACAACAGGAAGAAAGTTACAGGATTAGTTGAACTTTACGACTTGCAGACAGAACTTTGTGGTTAGACCTGATTGCAGCTAATAATGCATAGAAGAGGGTTTGGTCGCTGAGGGTGTTGATAATGCCAGCTGCTTGCCACTGTAACACCTTAACAACAGCAACAACAAAAGTCAGGTTACGGTAGGAGTTAGCAGCTCAAAGTGTTGACAGTGGAGACGGGGAGGTTGTTAACACCATCACAGAAGGTGCTGCTGAGGTCTTCTCTGGAATACTGGATACAGAGGAGGTCAGTCCCATGTAAGAGAGCACAGTCTAAGCTGGGAAGGTACTCTGATGATAAAGGAGATGCTTTGAGAGAGGAGACTGGAAGATGGCTTCACTGCCCAAGCAGAGTGAAGACTGGAAGACAATGAGGATGATGTTTTCTCTGTTCTATCAGAAAGCGCTAGCAGAAATAAATGCTTCGGCCATTAAAAAAAAAAAAAAAGTGGCAATAAATTACAGAATTTTATTTTATTGATATTCACTGTATGGGCACTTAGGTATTGTTCTTTTAAAAAGATAAAGTTATGTTTTCTCTTCAGAAACCAGACCATTACAGAGTTCTTCAAGCCAGTTTTAAACCAAGGTAAATATGTGTTTTTTAAATGGAAGATATTTATATGATTTTTAATTATATAAGTGTGCAGAAGTATAGTCCAGTGCTGTTCCACATTGGAGCAGCAATATAATGAGCATAGCTTACCAAATATGTCAATATGCTCACATTTAATGATTTTTTTCTAATAATGTAACTGAAAATGTTAATTTCTTTAAATAGTGATGTAATTATTATTTCAAGTTATTGTCTTGCGCCTAAGCTAGAGTGTTTATAACAACTGAAGCTGTGAAATAGATCATGCCGTTCTTTGATAGGAGATAAACCGCATGGCACTAGCAACACTAAATGATTAAGTAAATTAATTTTGGATTGCGTGCGAGAAAGATAAAGTATCGAGTCATACAGTCCAATGAGATTAGTTCTTCCAGTATTGTGACTGTGAATGATTTGTCTTTTCTTTTCTCTCTCAGACCTCAGCCATAAAGACAGAGCTGCGCTGTGCTCACCAGACGGAGGATATGTGAAAGATGCAGGAATCGGACTGTCAGTTTTACGTGCTGAACGTTTTGAAAAGAAGGTATCTCCTCAGAAGAAGGTCAGAAGGAAGAAGATGCCAGACCCAACGCCAGACACAAGTCCTGTGGTAGAAGCCTTTCGGAGAGGAATTAAGAAGAAAAAGGACAGTGTGAATGTTTTGGAGAATAGCAGAGGATGCAAGGCGCTGGGTTCATTGTGCCCAAAAGTTGTGATTCAAAAACTCCTTATTACCGCAGGGGCTCACAGCTGTTTCTTGGCCAAAAAGGATAAAACTGTCAAGTCGGAACAGGGAAGAAGTGAGAAGTGTCTGGCTGTAACAAGAACACCGCTGTCTCGTGAAAATAGTTGGGAACAGAAAACCGACTATATGGATGTTGACGACACTAGTTCGGACCCTGACAAATGGGTTTCACTGCCAGAAGCTGGTAGTCAGAAAGCCTGTGCTAGAAGTAATGGTACTGCGAGCAACACATCCCTGTGCCAGACCCCAGGTCCTCCCATGAGACTGCCCTGCGCTCCCTCAGACTCTGAGTTCAGGTTGTCACTGGAAGCTCTCCGCAGAGAAAGGAAACGAAAGAAACACAGAATGAAGCAACCTAAGCCACATCCCGTAAAGCCATTCTCCGCAACAAGTGTATCGCATCAGGTGTGTTTAAAAGGGTCTTTAAAGGTGGAAATCCGCAACCCATTGTGCGTGGGATTTCTGAATGTCTTTTTTCAATGTAGGATGAGATTCTTGGTGCTGCCCTTCTCAGGTGTAACGAAAGTCCATGCTTTTCCCCTGTTCCTTTGTAAGTTTTAGGTCGGGATTGGGTAGGCCGGTTCTTGACTGTTTTACAATAAAGGAAAAATCCTTGTTTAAAAGCAGGGGAGATATTCTGGCTTAGATGCAAGCATGGAAATGCAATGGAAGTTGTAATTTCATATTGTATTTTGTAGAAAAAATGTCTTTATTTACCTTCTGCTTTCTTACAACATTGTGTAAGGAACAGCCTGGCAAATTTCTGCTACTTAGGAGTTGCAGTTAACAGCAGTTCAGATTTAAGACCCTTAAGACAGAGTGTTTAGATAGGGGTTAGGAGTGGTCCTATTACGTATGTGGTATTTAATTACAGATTGAATTATTTTCACTTTTGTTACCCTTTTAAGAGGTTGCCGGTTCATTTCAAGGAAGATGGTTATGTGTGCCTTCATCATGTGCTGTGAATGGAACAAAAAAAGATTGTTTAGCTTGTGTTTCCTTTTCTCCTTAGCACCCCTCCCCCTGTAGTTGCCTGTCTGTGCTTTCTGTCATTTTGTTATTTAAATTACTGTGACTTTTTTGTGGAAAGCCAGCCAGGCTATGTTGCCATATAGCCCAGGGTGCAAGTGGCTAATGGCCCTAAAAGTGGAGAGATTTAGAACCGCAGGCCAGTCTGAAGAAAAGAGGAAAAAATTCAGGCTGTGGATAGTCCTTTCACTGAGAACTTTGCAGCTGTGTTTTGTCTTGAAATTAAGTATATTACCTATTTCTGGGGGTGTGTGGAACTAAGTCTTTGCTGGATTCAACACTTGTTTCAAGATGTCAACATCCTGTTTTTTAAATTATGTGATTAACTTTATTTTCTATGTCTTTATTTTTAGGGAAATGGATGTCCTTTAAGAAAAATACCACATTCTGGTTCAAGAGAGACCGTCTCAGGTAGAAGCAGTGCTGATAATATGGAATTAAACAGTCTGGTTCATTACTCAGTGTCTCTTTTTAGTGGCTTATTTTTCTTGAGATCATGTTACTCTGTTTTCTCTCAAAAATGACTGCTGTATAGTAAAGGTTATTTCTAACGTATGGCAAGCTTGAAGGGGTTGAAAAGTCATTTGTGATTTCAGCTTCATGAAGTGGCTTGCCGTGAAGTGTCCGGGTGCGGGTGCCAGTTTAAAGCAGGAAACAGAAAAGCATGGTGAGGCAGGTGGGCTCTGGTGCCATAGAATGATAGCCTGGAAACAGATTTCTTCATATCTGAATGAGGTTTTTTGACAAGCGCTGTTAAAACTTTTGCAGCATTTCCAGAATACTTTTCATGCTGTTCGTTATTTATGACCGTAGAGGTAATTACAGAAACCTCCAGTCCCATACCTCAGCTGGGCTATTGCCTCCTTCCAAAGGCTGATTGACCCCAGTTTGTACAAGTGTTCTACAGTGGCAACTCAGCTGCTTTAAAATGAAAGGTTTTAATTTAATTTCCAAGTCAGTTGCGATAATAACGTAACAGTACAGTATCAGCTAAATATTAATTGTGGTCCACTGTCTTCAAGCAGGATGGAAGTGTCGTAGTTTCTGATAAAAGTTTCAGTCATAACTGACTTGAAACCAGAAGGTAGTTTTTTGAAGGGTAAGTTGTTAGGGTTTTGATTTCTTTTTTAAACTTGACAACAGTGGTTTACTTTTTTCGTAAATGTTTCGTAGATGACCTGTCTCAACCAAAGCCAAAGCATGTTTCAAAACGTGAGGCATCTTCTCCAAATGCACTGAGAACGTCGTCCGAGGTGGCTGCTGATATGTGGAAGAGCCAGTCTGTTCCTTCGTGCTGCCTTACATCGAAGATATCTTCTGAGCAATCCAAACAAACAGACCTTCCTGGAAAAAGAAAATGCACTGCCGTGAGTGTGGATTCAGATGACTCAAATCAATCTGAAGCCTCGCGTTTGAATGACCCCGCTTTTACCAGATCATCTGCAAAATGCAAAAATAGGAAGTCTGACTTTGTAAAAAATATCCTTTTAAAGTCAACTCGTGGTGATGTTCTGCAGCTAATGGAGGCTGCTGCTCTACCTAGATGTGATTTTGCTCCTCCAGAGGAATACCTCAACTCAAGCAATGGAAATGAGAAAAATAATTGCTCCTCTGTAGGTTTGTCATCTGCACACGGTCCTGGTAAAAATAACCACGTTTCTGTTGGGGATACCAAAGAGAATCAATTGCAGGTGGCTAACTCGTGCTTTTTCTTGGAAAAGTCACTTCCTTTTTCTCAGGAAAAAAGTCCTGTGTTGCCTTCTCTCCACTACTTAACACAAACAAAAGGTGTGGAATCTCATCTCCCGGATGCGGGCTTACCTCAGGTATTGGATGTTACAAAGGAGCAAGATGGGACAAGACCAGAAAGACGCGCACACGATAAACCTTACAGTATTCCAACCAGCAACAGTTTTTCAAAAACAAAAGACAAGGCTTCAGAAAATGCTTATGGTTTTTGTTCATTGGGAGATTCTGGGAAACTTTCACTCGCAGAAGAGACTGGTAAAAGTGATCCCCGTTTGTTATCTCTTAAAGAAGAGCGCATGGACATCAGCTGTATGTCTTCACAACTCTCAGGGGAGTTAAAAGTTGAAAGCACATGCACAGACAAGTCCAGGATGAGTGGAAAGTTAAAAAGCAGCTTTGATAGTGAACATGGGAGTTTGGAATGCAGTCTAAGTGATGACAATGATGATGAAGAAGTATTCATACCACTGCAAGAAATTCTCTCCTCGAGTCCCAAGCCACAGGCAGGAACCCTGGAGGAATCTTTTCTTGACAGTATTTCTGAGGACACCGTGGCTCCATTACTGAATTTTCATGTAAGTGGCTAAAAAGCAAACAAAGTGTTGCATCAACTTTATGTTGTATTTTTTAATATGATTTTTCCTTTATTCATAATGCACGAAAACTCTAGTTATTTGTCTGCAAAGCTGGCAACTTAGCTTAAGGGTCTTATGCTGTGCAGCACAGTCAGAGAAAGGGTGTGCTTGTTGCTCTGCTTGTCCTTGGAATGGCTGAAAGATCATTTGTGCAGACGGATTGCAGTAGCTGGATGCCTTTTGGTGTATTTTAGGAGTTCTGTGTTTTGATTTTTCCCCCTAAAAGAGAAAGATAGGAAATTACATCTAAATGGTGTGTGGGTGCTGATGTTTTCATTTTCCCGATCAGGTAAGACAGGAGTTGGAGCTAATTAGAGGAAATGGATCTAGACATTGAGAGGTCTGTGTGCTAGACTCCAGTCATACAAACCTGTTCACAGTCTGTGGTTATCAGAAATCTGCATGAGTTCTTCATCTGTCTGATGTTTTCTTTGAGGTTGAATTTCATGGAAATTGGATGCATTTTAGAAAGGATTAAAAAAAGTTAAATGATGACTTCTGCTTGCAAGGGGTAGATGAAGTGTTTTGAATCCCAGTTTACAGGAGATTATGGTGATGGATTGATCTGTGCATTTAAAAGTTACCTTTTTTGTTCAATAACAGCTTGTCAAATGAATAGTGATTTTCAACTTTTATTGTAAAGTAATTTGTTAATTAGGCAGGTCCTGCAGTAGGACTTAGTGTGGCCTTCCTGACAAAGGTGGTACAGGTTGGAAACGGAAGGATTTTGTACTGAGCCTGGCTGGGTTGGAGTTAATTTTCTTTGTAACAGCTGCATGGTGGTGTGTGTTTTGGAAAAGAACAGTGTTAAGAGACCAGTCTTCTGGCAGCCTGAAGACTTCTTGATGCTTCTGCATCAAGCCTTTCTCTTCTTCCCACTCTGCTGCCCCAGTGAGTAGGCCGGAGTGGACAAAACGCTGGGAGGGGACAGAGCCTGGACTGCTGATCCCAGTGACCGAAGAGAAATGTTCCGTGCCACATGGTGTGGTGCTCAGCAATCACAATCAAGCAGGGGGTGTTGGTCTGGGATGTAGCTGTTACTGGGAGTCTGGCTGGGCATTCTCTGCTTGCCGGAGGTGCCGAGTGGTTGCTTTTGCATCACTTGTTTTCCTTCACTTACTAAACTGTCTTTTATCTTGACCCATGAGTTCTCTCGCTTTTGCTTTTCTTATCCGGGTCAGCTGACTGCTGTTTTCTCCAGCAGAAAATAAACAGCAGAATACCTGTACAAATACTCTTGTCCTCCTTTCGTCCCATTTTTAAATCTCTGAAATGGTTTATTTGTTGACTTACTATCTCTGTAGACACACGTTGAACAGCCGTAATTATTTTATCTGTCCTTATGATTCATTATGCAGGCACAGTATGGATCAGCCTTCTGCGGTTACATCCGTGTTCCACAATCTTAACTGTCGTGTCTACATAATTAATGGTTAAGACTGATAAACAGATGCAGCCTAGATCAAATCTTTGTGGAATATGGTGTATGTGACCACAACATTTGGCCTATCCTGTTTCTGCAGAATTAATGGCCAAGTAAGACTAAAGGGTTAAGAACTGTCCCAAGATTTCCATGACCATTTGTTCTGCATGTATTAGCATTCTTCCTTTGTCTTGTAAAAAGGGTCATATGTGTGTGTTGGAATAAAGTCTCAGTTGTTCAATAGTCGTTTTAGACATATTAACCACATATAAGGGAGATGGTCTGCAGCTTTCCCACAAGGTTTCCCACACAAAGACATGCTGCTTGCTGCGTTTGAAAGATATCTCCTGAATACCAAATGTAATGATGCATTAACTGGCTTTTTTTATTAGCAGGGGGACACCAACTTCTTAAACTAACTTCTGTTACCTTTGGGTGATAGACAGTCCCCAGTGCGAGGGTATGCTCTTGACTGAATTGTGTTCTCCTGAAATGAAGGAGCTCACCGGAAGAACCTTTGTCACTAGTAAGAGCCTTGCAGTTTCAGATGTGGTGTCAGAAGGGCCCTGCTTGTCCAGAGGACTGAATCATGGCCCTCACAGATTTCAAATCTGTGTTGTCTGCTATTAGCTGAATAAAACACTGGCTACTGAAAAATAAACTAATTTTGCTAGCAGTTAAGACTTACTTTGTGCGTTGTGTTGTTTTTTAATATTATTTATTAGCTTTGTAATTTGGGGTTGTATTGGGGTTTTGATGGGAAGCTTTCTTTTGTCTGCCAGTTTTGGAGGTGATTTAGCTAACATGTGCTTTGTGCTTTAGGGACTGCTGGAAGTAACACAGAGGTACTGAATCATTTTTGCAGTTTCTTGTCGTGTGCAGGAGAATGGGCATTCTCAGGGTCTCAGTGAATGATGATACTACAGCAGTGGGCTAAAAGGCTTCTGATGCTAATGCTCTTGGTGAAGGTTAGATGGAGGTCAGCCCCAGGGAAAGAAGCAGAGACTTGCTTTGCCACTCAGATCCATTGTGAAGCACAGTTATTTCTAAATTAACCGCTGAGAGATTTGACCATTATATAAAATTGTCAAGGAACTGAGAAACATAAACTGTTAATCATTCTGTTTTTCAGGGTTATCTTTTGAGTTTTTATCTCAGTAAAATAGCATTAAACTTGGAAGAGGTTTTTGTTTTGATTGTTTGTTGCCTATTACTGAATTAATCAATAGCTTGTGGTATTTCTTAAATTTCTTACTATTTCATTTACAGCTTTCTAAGCCTCCTGTTGTTAGCCAGGTGTCATATGTGAACAGCTTAGAACATCTCTTGAAGGAGAAAGAAGAATCTAAAAGGTTTGTTTCTTAAAGCTGCTTAGCAAAATTTGGGATGGAGTTGTAGAATTTTAGATTCACCTCATCTCCCTAAAACTGATGGAGTTTGGGTAACAGCAAGCTAAGCTGGTGCCACCAGTGTTCCTCTGATGTGACTTACAAGTGCAGCTTAACTGTAAAAGCTGAATGACAAGCTCCTTCCAAGCAATGATGAGTGATGTGGGATACATCTGTGCATCCCCCAAGAGACAGACTATATTTATTGATGCCTTCATTACGGGTCACCGAGCCAGCGAGCAGCTGCTGGTCAGGCAGGATGTAGGAGTATTTCTGTAGACAGACTGTAGTATTTTCTTCAAAGGCATTTGTAGCTCAGTTTTGGTTTCCAAAGTTGTGTAGACTTGGACGATGCTTGGTTTTCACACAAATGAGATCTCACATCTCACATACTTTTGCCCTGTATAACTAACTCCTGAGTTCACATTCACAACCTGATTTTGTTGTCTTCTCTTGTAAATACTACGTGGTGATGATACGTTCTGCTGCTGCTGTTATTTCAGGGTAGATGAACTAGAAAAGCGGTTACAGGAAGACCTACAAGGAAGGGAAACTCGTTCTTCAGATGGAGATGATGAGGAAAGTGCCAGTGGAGACGAAGATCTCTCAGAAGAACACAGGTCCTTCCAACTCCAAACCCACTTAGATCTAGTTCTTCACTTTTTCAAGCTTTTTCTCCTACTCTCTCGTTCCAACAGTTGTTAATATGTTTAATGTGAACCATTTTTATCATCATTCGGGGTTGGGTGGATTTTCTTGGACATTACTGTATTTTAAAATGGCTCTGTTTTCACATAAGGCTGATGTGTTCATCACTTGAAAACAGCTGTCTCAACCAGCAAATAGCATTTAAGTTCATAAAAGCAATTTTGAATTTTACAGGGCGTTTATAAGGAGATTTTCAGTAATAGCTCATGCCATACCTGACTGCCACCCTGGAGAAGATATATTTGATTTATTAACCTCTGGGAAAATCTTCAATCAACATAACCTTGACTTGAGGAATTTTCACTTCATCCCTCAAAATCCTGTACAAAAGCTACTTCTTAGGTAATAATATCCTCTTCACTCTGTTGTATTTAGAATCACAGAATGGTTTGGGTTGGAAGAGAACTTAAAGATCACTGAGTTCCAACTCCCCTGCCACTGTTTACATGTACAATTTTTTTCAGTGTTACGATTTTATCTTAAAAACTGCTATCCTTGCAGTCAAATTAGCTCTGTCTTACTAAATAGGCAAGACTGACTTTGTTCCCCTGGAATTCTCCTTTCCAGGTTAACTTTACAGAACAGAGAATTGTTACTTGAAGCTTCCTTCTTTCCTCCTCTGCAATTCTAGAAAAAAATCTTAAATGAGACATAAGGGGAAAAAAAAAGGTATCCTAGGCTATCCTTGGTAATCTGGCTGGTTTGTAGAGGACAAATGCAGAAGTGAAACGTTCTAATGAACAAAAGCTGAACTACCCCAAGCCAGAAAGAAGAGGACCTTTGTGGTGAACTGATTTGTGACCTACTCCTGTTGCGTCATGTCTGCTGAAAGTCTTTTATGTGTTTCCCTCCCGAATGGGCCTGGGACTTAGGGCTCCACTTAATGAGGATTGCAGAAAGTCACGATTTCTGACATCTGTTAGATTCAGTCACTGAGCTGGCAGGGTGTCTGCGTAGATAAACAACTGTTCTGTAACTCCTAGGGATTTGTATTCCATATTTATGAGGCTGTCAGGCTACAAGTAGCTGGGCAGATTGTTGCCTAATACCACAAGTGCAAATCCTGAAAGATTCTGGTTATTTAAGTTGGAATCTTATTCCAAACACGCATCAGTGAAACTCAGCAAATTCATTTAATCTTAAAGGGTTTTGTACACGTGTGTATGTGCTATTGTGGGTGTGAAGAGGAGGAGGGTGGCTTTTCCTCATCTCTTGAGGAGGTGACATTTGTGAATTGAGAGGAAGGAGTCATGGCCAGGCTGGAGGAGGCTTTGAGCAACCTGGTCTAGTGCAAGGTGTCCCTGCCCATGGCAGGGGGGTTGGAATTCGATGATCTTTAAGGTCCCTTCCAACCCAAACCATTCTGTGATGCTATGTACTCCTTTGGCTTCAGGCTTCTCTATTAATAATGTTTTGAGGATCACAAGGATATAAGCTTTGAAAGTATCTTGCAAATCAGCAACTGGAGGAATGAGAATTAAGCAAGCCATCCCTTGCAGGAGGCAATTAGGATTTAATTGCTGATGCATTCTGCCCAGTTGGCAGAGCTGGCATATACTGGCTGTCCAGTTGGCACATGGCTGTCTTGCTAGCCACTTGCTCCGTCAGAGAGGTGAGGGGTACGTGGAGACGTAAGGACACGGATCTCTCAACAATGCTACCTGTTTTAGTAGGTGCTGAGAGGTAGAGGAGACCAAAGAAGGGTGTGTGGGAAAACCGGATATGATTAACTCAGCTGCTGATGACAAACCTGACTTTCTGGAGACTAAAGCTAAAATCACTAGTATTAAAAATGACATATTTTCTTTTCTTCCAACAGCTACTTTTTGCACCTCACAAATATGCACAGTGAGATTAGACTGTTTGATTTTAATTGCTTTAGTTTGTCTTTAGACTCTTTACTTAAAAGATTATTTTAAAAATTTCAAACATTTTTTTTTTTTCCCCTCTTCAAGCGTTGGTAAAGGTCATTGGACAGTAAAAAAAGTCTCATTCACTGGTCTCCTTGAGTGTAGCAGCACATCTGTTCATAGTACAATAATGTAAATCAGTGTTTGTTGGAAGCTATTATTTTCTAATATACAAATGATTCCATATAGTATGGCATTCTGGAGAAAAGGTAGTTGTTTAAGTAACTACTAAGGTTCAATTACTGTAGTATTCCAGTTAAGAGCATGAGAATAACATCTGGTTTGGATGTTCACATCTTTGCTGTTGATGGTGATCTGAAGGGTGGGGATGTTCTTATACTTTGTGAAAATACTGCGTCAACCACTGATCGATTCTTGTTTGTTTCCTTCTCCTCTTTCCCCACCCCCATTTTTGTCTTACAGTTTTGATGTAACACAGCAACTTTCTTTATCTATTCATGGTTTTCTAAGTTCTGCTTACAGTTCTGTCTTGTGTCCCATACCAATTCTGAAGTGGCTTTTCCAGGTAAGACTATACTAATCACACACTTATACTCTGTCCAGGTGTAGTATTTTTTTTTCCTGGAAGGCAGTTGTAGCAGGAAAGGAATGATCAAGCTTGTGAATCTGTTGCATTAGGTTGACAACTTTTAAATGAAAAGAATGGTTCTTTGAGTTCTGATGTGTTCTCCAGTCTGAAATACTTTGATTGTCACTAGGGGTAGCTTCATCTCCCCACTTTCAGAGTGACTGCGGAGCTGCGTGTCCCTGTCCCTATGTGTAACTGCATTCAAGAAGTGCACGGTACACTCTAGGTGAGAAGAGATCTGTTGCATTAGGTTGACAACTTTTAAATGAAAAGAATGGTTCTTTGAGTTCTGATGTGTTCTCCAGTCTGAAATACTTTGATTGTCACTAGGGGTAGCTTCATCTCCCCACTTTCAGAGTGACTGCGGAGCTGCGTGTCCCTGTCCCTATGTGTAACTGCATTCAAGAAGTGCACGGTACACTCTAGGTGAGAAGAGATTCCAGGTTATAGTAGTGCAGGCAAGTCACAAGTGAATGTTAATCTTTTTCTCTTCTACCCTTGAAAAACAAGCCAACCAACAAAAAAAACCACACCAAACATGCAAAAGTACCATTTCTGCATAGATCATCAGAGATACCTGCATTATCAGATGATTTTCATTTGGAAAAGGTCGATTTGCATTACAACCCAGGAAAAAGTCTGGAGCTATCCTCAAGGAAGTGTGGTGGTTGTCTGCTGTCTGGGTGTTTGTGTCTAAATCCCCAGGAATTTTACTTTGTTCTGTTAGTCACAACAATGCCCCTCTCCCATCTCCATTCTATTATGATGTACCACATTCTGACTGCCTGAAACAAAGGAAGCTGGACTGCCTGTGAAACTGCAGCCTGTGTCTGTTGACTGAGTTTCTGCCTTTGCAGAAAGGGAAACATTTTGCTCCTCTGTGTCCTTCCCTGCAGTCAGTAAAAAAAAATTGCCTTCCACCCCTTCTGTGAGCCCTGGTGCTCCTCGTAATGAGGAGGAAGAGGTAGGAGCCAGTTCTGGTCACTTAGAGCAGGAACCTGTCCAGCACTTGGAGGAGAAAAAGAAGAGCTTTTTGCTGGGCTAGTGAAGTGCTCCAGGAATCCTGAACTGTACTTCACAGTCATGTTCTTGTGGTTAAGAGTTCTAAGAAAAACTCAGAAGTTATTGTTTTGGTTTAGCACTGTATATATTCAACTTGCCTATGACGGGAAAGGTTGTGGTTGACTGCTGCCCCCGCTTCTGATCAAGGAGCTCAATTTGATCTCAGGTGCACGTGGGTTCCAAAGGGTTACGTGATCCTTCCATTCTCTTCGCCCTCAGGACCTTCTTATGAACCAGCAGATTCAGCACGGGGCTACAGTATCCTGATCCTGCAAATAATGAATTTTAAAGTATTCATAGCACCTGTGTGCTGGTTAAATAATCAGTATTCACCATATTCTGTTCTCCTTGGTGTACCTTGCTGTAGAGCCTTTGGGGTTGGGTTTTTTTTTTCTGTCAATGTTCCTTATTTTACCAAAGAGTTAGCTTTTTTTGTAATTAAAAGACAACTGCTTCCATCACGCAATATGGTGTTTGACCTGTGGCTTTTATCTCCGCAGATGATGTCTGTTCATCCTGACTACTGTGTTTCCACACAGATTTTAGACAGATTGATGGAGATAACATTAAAAAATGGTGAGTATTTGAAGGATGAAGAACGGACCACTTTAATGAAGGTGGTTGTATACTTCTGTTAAATATAGAAAGGTATTGGGAGGAAGTAAAAGGCACTGGCTCTGTTCTGTCACTCTGGCATGAATTTAGGCTTTTCTGTTACTTAGGTAATGCACAAATGCTAGGAGTGGGTCTTCAGTGAGTGTGTGCAAGCTGTACCACGGGATGTGGTCCTGGCGTGTGTTTGCAAAGCAGTGCATCCCATACAGAGCCTTGTAAACTCACGCTGTTCTTTCACAAGTGGAAGTGACCTGAAGGGAAGCCCAGCTGCTCAAAAGTTTACTCTCCTTTCCATCTTTTCCTTTGGAAGATGCGGACATTCATAGCTTAAGGACTACAAGATGTTTTTCACATAGTCACACCCAGTATGTAGCACTACATAGTTTACTTTCCAGATAGATGGCAAAAGTGAAAAGAATCATACACCTGCACAAAAGCACTTTCAAGCATCTGTTTCAGCCAGCTCTGCTGCTTCTAGCAGCTTCTCACAGGAGCCACCCCTGCAGTCCCTCCCCTGCTACCAAAACCCCGCCACGCAAACAATGAGATCTGAACCTGCCGTGTCTTGAGCGTTACGGTCCTTTATATTTAGGGTTTTTTTTTCCTTACAATTTAGCTCTTAAGAGACAAAATCGACCCAATTCAAAATTGTGGTGACATTTCTAGGGCAAATGGGTGGAACTCTAAAGCAGTTCACCTGCTATGTAGGCAAGATGTTTTTTCAGTGTAAAATACTGTTAGACTACTACTTTTCCCCCCTCTTCATTCTGAAAAATGAGTGTATCGTTCAGTGCACCAACTCTGAGATGAGAGCTGGTAGAATTAATGCAGACTGCTGAACTTACTTGTTTCTCTTACAAGGAACTAATGTTAACCAAATTTAAAACTAATCCATTCCATGTCTTTTACTTGTAGCTTCCATCAGTGACGAACAGTCGAAGCCATGGATTCCTTCACTGGCTGATGTGTCAGCTGTTTTTATCAATATGGGTGTTGCTTTTCGATCTCTACCCTTTCAGCATCTTCAGCCCAACTTCAACGAGAGTGATATTTTGTAAGCGTTTTCCTTTTGATATTTATTGCCTAGATCCTGTGAAAGCAATCCTTGTGCTTGGAATGTAGAACTGGGAGGTTTTCCTATATTTCCTCTCCCTCCCATCAAGCCATACTCTGCTTTAAATTCTCAGCTCAGGTCTCAGTAAGAGTAACTGAGCCAGGACTTGAAACAATGCCCGCCAGGTGAGGGTTCAGC